ATGATAAATCTTTTATAGGCACGAGCACGATTTGTTTATAGGACCAATCATCTATACATATTGTAAAATCGAAAATCACGTTCACGTAGTCACTGATCGCTGTAACTCAAAAACTACACAACGCGCGAACCCGAAATTTGGAATAGAGGTTCTTCTCATATTTTCGCCGAGCAATAAGAAAGTATTTTCAAAAATGTAGCGTTTTAGTGGAGTAATTAACAATTATAATTATTCTATACCAATACGTATTGTGCTGCACGGCACGGGCTTATCGTGGGTTTCCAGCTACTTGCAGTTGCAAGGTTGCAACCTATCCTTTTTGCCCGAAGGTGAACAATAAGAATTGCTCCGAGAAGTTTATCCATAAAAATAATCATCGCGCGTACACCAAATTATACTTAAATAGTAATCGTCGCACAATAAAATGCACACCGATAACAAACCAATACACACTTACAAATTTATAAAGAAGATAAATTGTTCATTTGTTTGGTTTAATCTCTGGAACTATTTAACTGATTTTAAAATGTCTTTACCATTAGAAAGCTACAAAATCCCAYGAATCTATAGGCTATATTATATCTTGAYAAGTTGCCCTTAATTTTTTAATGTTAATTTGAGATCTTTTATAGTAGAAATAATAATAATATATTGAATATATATTTCTATACAATTTGGTATGGAAGAATAAGAAATAAGTAATTTGTTATTAGCACGGATTAATATATATATATATTAATCCGTGATTATTAGGCAGCAATGATTGCTGATAAAATAATATTATTGAATATACTTTTAGTTCTGTATATTAAGTTTTAAATGACTGTTATTCTTTAATGTAGATTAAGATAGGATAAATCGACGGGAAGTTTTGATCACGACTATAGCCTAGTATATAAACGACAAATTTACCAAAAATGTTGAATCATGTAGGAAGTCGGTATTTTTAACGGGCAACGAAGTTCACGGGAATCAGCTAGTAGACCTATAATATTAAGTCTATGGGACTAATCGTGCACCAAAGAACGAAAAGTGTAATATGGAGTATTATTATGATCATTGATGTTTCCAATAGTATATAAATATAATTATATTATATAGTATTTGATCTAAAATAAGCTGAGTACAAGGACACTGGACAATCACTGCAAGTGTGTGGACTAAATAGTGAATCCGGAAAATCTATGCTTCTCATATGGGCAGTTATATGTCTGTMTGTGATTGGCTCACGCATCTTCTGATTTATTTTGTGTATAATACTAGAGTCTAGAAGAAAAAAATTATGGTGTCCAAATAATGCACTTCAATAAACGTGACGGCGGTAATTCATTACGTATAATAAGTATAAAACATGGTGTTCACATAGGGTCGTCATTTTTAATGTGCAACGAAGTGCACACGGGATCAGCTAGTATGGTTATATAAATCGTACATTGTAATGTATAGTATTAAATAGTACACATATGCCTGATTTCAGTTTTCAATTTGGAGGGACTTAATWTATTTAAATGAAACAGACTTGTGGGGATTTTAATATCATAAGATAATATGCCACCAGCCATTTTAATATTATTAATATTATAGGCAGTGGTTGAATTGAAAAAAAAAATAAAGGTGGACTCTAAATTAAGTCAGATAAATCAGATAATGTATATAAAACGGTACCGATGTAATAGGCAAACATAAATTAAAAGTTAACAACATTAAAACTTAACTTTATGTTGGCAAATTTTACGTGTACGATGGAAAAACAACGAAAAATAATGTATTATCCATGTAAATGTGACGTTAGCCATGCGCCAAATTTATCCATAATATAATTATCACGAAAAATATCGTTACCAGATGTTTATTATTTAAAAATGCATAACAATTTTGAGTAGGTAACAAGTTCAAAATAAAAATAATAATATATATTATAGTATTATACAGATCAATTGAATTATTTATAGTCTTATAGATACTGCTGATACTAGTTAATTTATAAATAAACCTAAAAGTTCTGGATGGATTGGATTAAACAATTTCATCATAATTATATTATTATAACATTAACATACTAAAAGCTTGTTAAGATTTTCCATTAATTTCCAAGCATGGGTGCAATATTTCATCCATCAATCAGCATGCCACTAGCCTTGTCGTAATGCATAGGTATCACACTATCAGATGAGTCATTCTCATGRCATAACACATCACTCTCACTCTCCTATGCCTTTTTTGAAATTAAATATCTACTAAAGTAAGTATTAACTAGTTCAATCAACTGTGAAATAACTTAGCTTTTTCCAATTAATTTAGATAGGCCGTCGACGTAATGCACAAGCAGTTCCTGCAGCGTCGTCGTCTCGTCGATAACAAGATAAAAAAAGTTAATTTAAATAAAATCCAGTAGATATTCTTGATATATTGTTGTCAGGTTTGCTTTGTGACGGTTATATCAACCTTATTTAACTGGTATCTGCATATTACCTGCAAATATTTGACATCGTAGACAATATGCACAGATCGAGGAACCTTTATACCATGGACATATAATATAATCTATTATATGTCTATGCTTTATACTCACATAGTTTGGGCCATGGGGATGACTGGAAATTTCTTAAGTTTCGAATAATATGTAGGTAGGTACATACAAATTTAAAGTATTTTCAACTCAAACATTYGGAACGTTTCTAGTCTACAGTCGATATTTCATCACAATATTTTATGTCAATAATTATTACTCATAACTTGTTATCGTCATCACAGATTAATTAAATGAAACAGTTTTTAGATTAATGTTTAATTCAATCAAAATATATTGATATCTTAGTAGATAGTTGACTAGAAAATAACAAATAATCAAAAAAAAAACGAATTTTCTTAAAATGAAACGGCTGTGTAGAAATTTAAATAACCAATAAGTTAATAATAATATTAATAATCTTATGAGATTTTCATCACTTTATTGACGTTTTCATTGGACAACCAAGATTTATTATGTTTAAACCATTATAAATTGTAGTTTTTAATTTATATATAGATTAGATTAAACTGTTAAACATTTTGATAGAAAAATTTTCAATATTGTTTTTATAGTTTTATATTTTAAATAAATTACAATAAAATTACATTTAATTATCAGTCTAAGCATTATTATTTTTTATCACCAAGCTTAAAATTAATTAATAACTTTTGATGTTAAAATGTACTTAAATTAATATCATGTTTTTAGTAGAATTATTTTTACTTACTTTAACCACATAATCGTTTATTATGGTTAAATTATTAATCACTCAAAATTGTTAGCAATGTATATGTATCAAATGCGCTCTTAGAGAAAGTAATTAATAACATAATAAGGTGAATTAAGATAAAACAGCCTTTTTAGTTTTGATTAACTTATTTCAATAAAATAAAAAACCATTAACTGTTAAATTAGATTTTAACTTTTATACTAAAATAAAATAAATATTATCACTAGAATCAATATTATTTGAAATAATATAGGCATTGTACTTAATCAAATAATATAGGTTTTAATTCAAAACTTTGATMGATTTTAAATAAACAAACTCTAACATAAATGATTTATTATAATTGGTACATACATTTTTTTTAGGATAAATTAACTTTTTTGATTGCCATATATATTATGGAACTGTTAATGATATCAGTAATTATTAAAGTCGATTTTTAAGGATAAAATGTAAGGCACCTAAGGAATAGGAAATATTA